GGGGGGGGGGGAGGAGGGGATATTGTACGAGCGCGGAAAGTTCCAGGTGAGGGCGAACCGAAATAGACTACGATGCTTGTTATCCGGCGGGCTCTCTTCGTCACGCCGTGCGTGTCTCCGTTCGTTGCGATCTCAAACAGATTTCGAGTAGCTTGCGATCTTTATTTGCGTGCGAGGTTTACTCGAAGAGAAAATTTATCGTGTATTCCTTGCTTTGCCTCCATATTTCCAGACAAAATTAGAGCGTATTTTGCGGCAAACTTGAATTTTTTCTCAATCGTACGATTCACTTTAAAATGCAGATATCGTAGCCGATATTGCAGAGAATTATTTACTGAGACGATATCGAGTTTTGCGTAAACTTTGCGCCGGTTGAACGCTAGATTAAACATTTGAAAAAGTCGTCGATGAAGTCTCATATATTCTTTTTAATATCGCTTCTCGCATAGTTTGCGACATCGAAGAGCGATCGGCTTCTTGAAGAACGGGCCATGATTCGCGACTGTCTTGTTTTATCGCAGAAGCAATTTCCGCCGACTTTGCGGATATTCACTAACCCGGTAATTGGGGCGAAGGAATTGCGTTTTTAACAATTTACACAGCAATAGATGAACGGGCCGAACGTCGGGACGATTCTCTCCCCCGGAAAGAATCCCCCCCCCCCATTCATTGTTCCCGGAATTCTGGTACCGTCGTCGTTAAATTCTTACAATGCGGGATCGCCTTTGAAGTGCTATGAAAACGCGAGCATTATTCAGCCCGCGAAATCTCGCTCGGGAATTTCAAGCTGAAACGCAAACACGCGGACTCACTTGTCTTACAGAATATATTTCACGCTTCTCTTTCGCGCACACACACACACACACACATGCATACATACATAACCGTTCCGTTATTCACGAACCAATACACGGAATCTCGCGAGAAGTTTGTTCCGCACGGATGGAACTTTCGTTTGCTCCGTTAAAGTTATAGAAAAATTCGGAAAAATAATATTCGACGCGGATAAAATTTTCGTGTCGAGCCGTTCCCCAGGAAATTTCCAAAGAGACAAAATTCCGAGAGAGAGAGAGAGAGAGAGAGCGAGCGAGCAATAATCCGGCCACGTGAACCAACTACAGTTATCCCGATTCATCAAGTTCTTTCAGTCTTTATCTTCATTAAGCACCGCTCTATTGATAGTGGCTATTAATCATTGTTCCTCGCGCTTTCTGACTATGGGAGTTCGCGCATGGGACTTAGGCGGTGCACAGGGAGCACCCTTTTGTTAGTTCCTCATGTCGAAGGTAGGGAAGCGTGCTCGATGCAACTCTCTCAGACGATTAACGATACTCTCTTTCGATCGCTGCGAATCGTCTCTTCAACGCGGTCGTTCTCTTGAGTCGAATCACTGAAAATGTCACTGATTGAATCAGTAAAAAAGTGTTGCACTATACGACTTATTGTGTAACGACTCGTTCGTCCCGTTAATCAAGAGAAGGAAGTTGACCCGCTTGATTTTTCCTCCTCGATCGGACGGCGGGGGCCGACTTATGGCAGAAGCAATTTTCCCCGGAACTTTTTCCATTAATTCGACGCGGCACGACTTTATCGGTTCCTTTGATGGCCGAACTTTCAAGGGCACGCGCATTCCCACGCGCAAAAAATGCTTCCGGAGCCACAATCGAGATTGATTCGAAGCGCAGGTCAACACGGAGTGCAACTTGGTTGGGGGGCATCTGATGTGTCGTCGTTGTACAATAATTTCTGTACGACCCGCGCGAGTGTAACGCGATCATGGGAAATTTAATCGGAGAATTCGGTCTCGCGCAGTTTTCCTTCAATCCTCCCAGCCGTGAAACTTCGTACGTGCTACTCGACGAATTTTCGCATCCTACCAGAAGACGAAATTACCGTCGTCGCGAATTAATTATACACGCCCGGTGATTTTGCGCGAGCGTAAACGTCGTCGAGCGCTTGTTAATGTTTGAATAGAAATTTGCAGTTAAATATTATTCCGGCTACGTACGCCTGGTTTATTTTGCCTGTATTATTTCATAATTATGTTACACGTTAACTTCGCTGACCCTCTATCTCGCCCGTTATGCAAATTCAGTCGCAAGCTTCAAAACGCGACGATTTATTCCGATAGAGTTCCTGGTATATATTTCGATCTTTTTCACTCACCGCCGGTGACGGCAGCGGAGCGAATTTTTTCTCCTCCTTGCTGCCCGTGCCGACGGTTTGGCGTTGCTCCCGCGATAGTCCGCGGCAATTTCGCCAAATATCACGCCGGAGATAACGCGAAAAAGTATCCGAGAGAGAGAGAGAGAGAGAGAGCAACATCCAGTGCAAAGTAACATGCATTATGGATGCAAACTTGCACCCGCGCGAATAACCCGGCTGGATTATCGCGGAAATTGAAGTAACTATGTGATTACACGGCGGCGCCTTAGCCGCTCTGTTAGGCGCTAATAGCGTCGCGTGCTAACCGTCTAGTCGTATCCGCCTCTCTTCTAGCCGCGAACACGTCGCCGTCGTCGTACCTCCCAACCCCGCATTTCCCGCTCAGGAGATGAGAAATTAAGAGGACGAAACGGTAGTACCGAGTGATGAAGAAATCCTCCTACGTCTACCGCACTTCGCGCTAAAGTGTCATCGAATTAACGCGCCGATACTCCTTGAGGAGAGATTAAGGGGCCGTTTCGAAAACGCGAGTTCGTCAATTTCGAAAATTGAGACGCTTTACTGGGGATTTACAACGCCCGAAATAACTCGAGCGCTTGCTTCATCGAACTATTCCGTGGATCTGTTCCGAGCGAAATTTTTATTATGCCTCGGAAGTTTAATGAAAGAATCTGAATTGTGTGTATTGGATCAAATATACACCAAGTCAAATCGCTTTTTAAAGAGAGTTTCCACGCTGCGAGAGAAAAAGATATCTAAGAAATAAAAAAAATACTTATTCTATGAAAATTAATAACATGTTATACTAATAGACATGTTCTTACATTGAGAAAATATTTTTTTTTTTCAAATGAGAAAATATACATTTTTTTTAATCTGTGGCTTTTCATGAAAGTAATTGTTTATTCCATATATTTAAATAAAAACATTCAGACTTAAATATAAATATCAG